CCACATCTGGCTAATTTTTGTATTTTTTTAGTAGAGATGGCATTTCACCATCTTGGCCAGGCTGGTCTCAATCTCCTGACCTCATAATCCACCCGCCTCAGCCTCCCAAAGTGCTGGGATTACAGGCATGAGCCACTGCACCTGGCCTACAATGACCTCTCAATAAGCATGGTCAAACACAATCTATGAGCAAGTACCTGCTCAGCTGCTTTTTAAAAAGCTGTCCTAATTTTAATATTTACTCCTGCATTAAACACGTCATGCAATTAAAGCTGTGTAATTTTAATGTAGTAATTACATGGCAATAAACTTTGCTTGTCTGATTTGCTAAAGTAACTCTCAAGAGAATATCCTCAGAAAAATGATTAGATATTCTAAGAGTAAATAAACCCCAATGAAACAATACATATAAAATGTTTACAGTTATATACATTATAAATCTTATTGATATACATATACCAGAATTCAGTACAACTGGTCTAGAATATTAACAGTTTAGCACAGATACTTCTCAGTATCAGCAGTCAATTATGTTTCAAGCACTTTCTACATATACAGCTACCTTAATCTGCTTCTTAATAGAACTTAGTTCCATTGAAACAAACATCACAGAAAATAATGTTTTAAGGTTTTGGGAACCTATAGTCAAAACGTTAAATGAGGATATAAGGAAAGTGGCACAGATCTGCTAATGACATAATTTTAGTCTTAGTCCTTACAAGAATATGCTCCATGACCTTGAGCAAGTTACATTAGCCATGTGTTCTCCTGCCCTCTGTAAGTGAAATGGGCTGTTCATACAGGCTAATACCAGTGAATGAGAACCATTTGGAAAGAAAATTAAGTTAGATCTCTGCCTCACACCATACACAAAACTAAGTACCAATTAAATTAAACATCTAAATGTAAATAATAAAGTAGAAAACCTACAGATATTTTATCAGGTTAGGGTAGGGACGACTTCTTAAGGCAAGCATAAAACATGAAAGCCAGAAAGGTTGATTTTACTACATAAAAATTTTAAAGATTTGTTGGCATGAAAGATATCTAATGTTAAATAATAAGGACTGAGAAAATATTTAAAACATCTCAACAGACAAAGGTTAATGGTATCTAAAATGTATAAAGGGCTCCTACAAAACTATAAAAACAATCCAATAAAAATGGGAAATATATGTAAATAGGTGATACACAAAATAAAAATAAATGGCCAATAAACTAACAAAAGATATTCCATCTCATTAGTAAGCAGAAGAACACAAATGAAAACGGCAAGAGACTAGGGGTGATGGCACATGCCTGTACTCCCAGCACTGTGGGAGGCTGAGTTTGGGAGGACTGCTTGAGCCCAGGAGTTTGAGATCAGCCGGGGCAACATAGTGAGGCCCTGTTTCTACTACAAGAAAAAAAAAAAAAAAAAAGTATCTGGGCTTGATAGTGTGTGCCTGTAGTACTAGCTACTCAGGAGAGGCTAAGGTCGAAGATCACTTGTGCCCTGGAGTTCAAGGTTGCAGTGAGTTATGATCCCACCACTGTGTTGCCTAGCCTGGGCAACACAGTGAGACCCTCTCAATCAATCAATAAAAATAAAAATATAAGAATAAGGATTTTTAAAAAAATATTATTTGTAGTAATCAAGGAAGTGAGGGGCATCAAAATATCTATTAGGGAAGAATGACTATAGTACATCCATTCAACAGAATGTTTAACAGATGTTTAAAAGAATGAAACAGGCTGGGCCAGGTGGCTCATACCTATAATCCCAACACTTTGGAAGGCTGAGGCAGGAGGATTGCTTGGGCCCAGGAGTTGTAGAGCAGTCTGGGCAACAATATGGGACCTCATCTCTACAAAAAAAATTTTTTTAATTAGCTGGGTACAGTGGTATGCACCTGTAGTCCCAGCGACTCGGGAGGCTGAGGCAGGAAGATCCCATGAGCCCAGGAGTTCATGGTCGCAGTGAGCTATGATCGCAGCACTGCACCCTAGCCTAGGTAACAGAGTAAGACCTTGCCTCGAAGAAAAAAAAAAAAATGAAATGGACTGAAAATACGTCAAATTACAAAAGTAAGTCTCAGAAGAATGATATTTTTTAAAAATCAATTTAATATTTTTTTACATGTACAGAAAATGTTTAGGAAGATTAGGAAGGGAAGAATCTCATCTTTATTTCTATAGTCATATTTACTGTTTGAATGTTTTACGACAAGCTAATATTACTTTTATTTAAAAATTATGGTGGCTCATGCCTGTAATCCCAGCACTTTGGGAGGCTGAGGCGGGTGGATCATCTGAAGTCAGGAATTCAAGACCAGCCTGGCCAACATGGTGAAACCCTGTCTCTACTAAAAATACAAAAAATTAGCTGGGCATTGTGGTGGTGGGCACCTGCAATCCTAGATACTTTGGGAGGCTAAGGTGGGTAGATCACCTGAGGTCAGGAATTCAAGACCAGCCTGACCCACATGGAGACCCCCCCCACCCCGTTTCTACTAAAAACACAAAATTAGCTGGGTGTGGGGGCACATGCCTGTAATCCCAGCTGCTTGGGAGGTTGAGGCAGGAGAACTCCTTGAACCTGGGAGGCGGAGGTTGCAGTGAGCCAAGATTGCACCACTGCACTCCAGCCTGGGCAAGAGTGAAACTCTGCCTCAAAAAAAAAAAATTATTCAGTTCCTAGATTCTCTACCCAAACTGAATCGTATTTATAAAGTATAGTAATAATCATTTGCCAACTGCAGTTCTGAAATTAAAAATATTTTTTTGTAAATATTTTTATTGTTGTTGCCTCAAAAAAAGAACACAGCACCTTTGAGAAGGCTAATTTCTGCTTTATCACTTCAGTATATAATAGCTGACCAGGCCCAGAAATAGAATAGTATTCACCTGTGGAAAGGTTAGGCAGTATGAGACTTGTGAAAACAAAACAAGGGAGAAAGGCAAGGATACAAAACATGGCATTCCAACTTGCTGGGGCTGTCTGAAACTCTAAAAGAAGAACAGTTTGTATAACATAAAACTTGTGGGAGAATCTGCCCAGCAACGTTTCCTGAATACCTAAATAAGCTGATTCAGGAGACAGGTTACTAGAGAGGTTTTTAAAGATAAAGACTGGTTTGTTTGGGAAATGGATACCCTTGATTGTACAGAACTTTCATCTGTGTTTTAAAAATAGGCTTAATGCCACTTTCATTGTTTCCCCCAATTCCCTCTTATTCATGAGACTTTGATCTTGACAACCGCAGTTTTAGTAACCACAGTATTTTTCAGGAACATAGCTTCTAAGGAAGGCAAAGGATGTGAGAGCATCGGTGAGATCTGGATTCAAATCTATATTGCATTTCAAGCTGCATTACCATGGGCGAGTTACATACCCTGATATCTGCGTGAAATGGAGATGAAATAGTGTAATGAGTGGAAATGACAGAGTAAAAAACATTTAAGCGAAGTACCTTGTGCACAGAAAACCAAGTCTTGCTCTGTCACCCGGGCTGGGGTGCAGTGGCATGATCTCAGCTCACTGCAACCTCTGCCTCCTGGGTTCAAGCAATTCTCCTGCTTCAGCATCCTGAGTAGACTACAGGCACATGCCACCACACCAGACTAATTTCTTTTGAATTTTAGTAGAGACGGGGTTTTACCATGTTGCCCAGGCTGGTCTTGAACTCCTGAGCTCAGGCAATTCGCCCACCTCAGCCTCCCAAAGTAGCTAGGATTATAGGCGTGAGCCACAGTGCCCAGCCAAGGGGAGTATAATTTTTCTATGACAGATCTGTGACCAGACTGTGGGGGTGGAGGCCTGTGCAGTGGACAGGGAGAAAAGCACCTAAAGTGTTTCTCTTATCATTCCACTGGGACTAGATGTCTGGCATTCTAATTTGCTAAAGATGAATTGATTCCATCAGCCCATGCAGAATATAAGTGCTTTTGACAGAATACAGGAAAGTTAGGATTTATATTGTAAGCTATTTTTAAAATTGCCTGGTTAGCAAATTAAACCAGCTGTGAAAATATCCTGGTTTCCATTCACAACAAATACAAGACGAGCCATTTTCCTTTAATGAATCTGGCCTCGTGGCAGCATAGTCCATTCTGCATAATTTATTCCTAAGGGTTTCAAAGACATAATTTTCTTAAGACAGACCAAAATTAAACTATTTTCTAGGAAAAAAAAATATGAGCGAGAGGAGTTTCTCTCTATAGATTTTTGGTAAATTCCATGAATCACTGGGCCATTCAATTTAGGAGACTAATGTCTGAATAAAAAATAGTAGTTATGTCAGTACTTTAAGCAGTCTTAACTGTTTTTCCTTTAAAAGGGCATATGAAAAACCAGTCTGCTCTGCAACACAATTGTTCACATTCTATGACAGAGAGAGGAAAAATTCCACTCACTGCTATCAAAAAGCTACCCCACAGACTCCCAACTTCAGGTTTAAAACCAATCACCCCTTAAGGAGTCAGGGGAGAAATCCTAAATTATTTAGAATGTTGACTAAGTTATATTATTTATAATTCCTGTTTCACTAGGGAAACAATTTGTTATTTAAACAAAGATCAGAAGTGTAAATAACCAAATGGAATAGAATTTAAGGAAGCACTATTCAAATAAATTCACACGTAGATTGCAAGGAAATGGTCTATTAATTTAGTCCACTTAATAAAGACATTGCTGAGAAAAGGATGTACCATTTTATACTTTCTTTGGAAATCAACCAAACTGAATTAGTTCAATTTGGTACATACTGAGCCTTAAAGCCACTGCTAAAACGTAACATAAATTTTGATTAGGCAAGTGTGAAAAACTATAAAGCTAACTTTCTTGTCCTTCCAGTTAGTTGGTCTATAAATAGAAGCAATGCATTCACAGCCACCAAAGCAACAGGTGAATTCCCCAATGTCTCCAACATATACATCTCTGACAAACACACAGTCAGCATGTTGAACCAGTGTTTCCGAGGACCTGTAATAGGACTCTTTTTAAATAAACTGTGACTCACTGTTTGCTTTCTTCACCAGGAGGTGGAGTCTTGCCATGCCCTTCCATTACAAAATCCTCCTGTTCCACCTGCAAAGGCAAGTGCCACAAGTCAGCAGTAGTCAGTAACTACAGCGAGACTCACTCCAAGAACCCAGACCTACCCTGTGCAGAACCACAAGGCCATTTCACTGTGGTGCACAGAACAGAAGCCTAGGCCAATGGTTTTCAAACTTCTCCTTGAGTGATTAGATATGCAGAATAAAAAAGGAAACATGTTGATCTGCAAAGCATGTAACTCTGACAAAGGATGAGCATCCACCATATAAAAGAACAGTGAAGAATCAATGAGACAAAGACAATCTACAGGTAGTGCTCGACTTACGACCACAGTCGGGACCGCAGAACGGTTGTAACACGATTTGGTCTTAAGTTGAGTAGGCTGTATGTACAGTTGAAATGGTGCACGTGGAGATGGTAGTGCTGCCAGAAGATGGTCCGCACTGTCGTACACCCAACTGGGCAATGTTTGCGCTGCCAAACGCGGAGCAGTCGTGGCTAGTGACTGTGGTAGTAAAGTCGAATGGTCGTTAAGTTGCATAGGTCGTAAGTCCATCAATACCTGTACTAGAAAAATCTGCAAAATAACCAACTAGGAATTTCACTGAAGAGAGCACATAAACAATTCCTAGGGCCGGGCACGGTGGCTCACGCCTGTAATCCTAGCACTTTGGGAGGCCGAGGTGGGTGGATCACCTGAGGTCAGGAGTTCAAGATCAGCCTGGCCATAATGGTGAAACCCCATCTTTAAAAAAAAAAAAAGAAATAAAAAAACAATTCCTAAATGTATGAAAAGATGTCCAATCTCATGTCAGTCAAGAAAATGCAAACTAAAACCATTTCACAACTACCAGGTTGACTAAAATTAAAGTCAGGCAATACCAAGTGTTGACAAGGATACATAGCAATAGCAATTCTTATCCACTCCTAGTGGGAGGGAAAACTGGTATGGCTACTTTGAAAAAGTTTGCCATTATTTAGTACATTTGAACATGTGTTTACTGTACATCTTAGCAATTGCACTTCTATGTATATACTCTACAGAAACTTTTGCACATACACAAAAGTATTTGTAGTAGAATCATTTTTAGCAGAAAAAATATATGAATAAATGTCTATCAACAGTAAAACAGATAAATAGGCTATGGGTTTTCAGAAAATAGAATACTGTATTGCATGAAAACAAATGAGTTACAGCTACACACCTCAATCTGGATGAGTTACAAAAAGGTAATCAAGTGAAGGAAGCAATTCACAAAAGAATACATACATTATATGATTTTATAAATATCAAGTTCAAATATATACCTATTTTAGAGCAAACTGCAGCAGAAAATATATCTTTTTAACCATGTGTGTGTGTGTGCATGTGTACAGGCATATATAGGTATATACATGCTTTTATTTTTAAAGCTATAAAGAAAAGGCTGAGAGCCATGGCATGACCCTGTAAGTCCCAGCTACTTCAGGAGGCTGAGGCAGGAGGATTGATTGAGCCTAGCAGTTCCAGGCTGTAGCACTCTATGATCACACCTGTGAACAGTCACTGCACTCCAGCCTAGGGAACATAGCAAGACCCTAAGTCTTAAAAAAAAAAAACTATAAAAAAGGGAATAATGTCTTAATATAAATTATTAATATAATTTCATAAAGGGAATTATTCCCTTCTTTAATAATTTATTGTAATTTAAATTACTAATTTGATTTTAAAATTATTAAAATTTTTATTGAATACATGACTTTAAAAGTCAAATAATTAATATTACAGGCCGACAAACAAAAACAGCACTCTCCACCCCTCCCCACCCTCACAAGGCAAGCCTCCATCCTCCCTTCCTCCCAGTGTAAGTTACTGTTTTTGTTCAACTCAATATTCAGTGCTAACTGTGCTATTATGTAGTAAATAATATATACAGCTGAATCACATGGAATGCTATAATTAAATTTCCTTTCTTGTATAATTTTGGTTTCCCTGGAACTAATAATTACCACTTACTCTTCTTAGTCTTTTTTTCTTGTTTTTTTTTTTTTTTTTTTTTTTTTTTCCAGCTTAGTATTTGTTATGTATTTTTCATTAATTCATCCTCAGACTCTCCAACAGAACTGTAAATCTCCTCTTAATCAGTTCAAACACTTCAGGTTATCTGTCAGTTTCACCCCGCCTTGAAGACATCCTCAGGGGCTTCCCCTGCTCCGACCTGGATTGACTACTCTCTAGGCCACTGAATCGCTGACATCTCACCAGGGATGTCTCCTCCTCTTCATCTCCATAATTCCCTCCTTTTTTTTCCTAGGCTGGAGCATCTGTTTCCCAGATCCTCTGTCTATTTTACCATTTACTCACTGGTTCAGGTGGAGTATATATTCCCATGATTTCTTGATAGAAGGTATATAGAAGGTGAATTTTTTTGAGACCTTGAATGACTGAAATGTCCTTGTTTTATCCACACATATAACTGACACATAAAATCTTTTTATTTATTTTTTGAGACGGAGTCTTGTTCTGTCACCCAGGCTAGAGTGCAGTGGCGTGATTTTGGTTCACTACAGCCCCTGCCTCCTTGGTTCAAGCAATTCTCCTGTCTTAGCCTCCCAAGTAGCTGGGACTATAGGCGTATGCCACCACACCTGGTTAACTTTTTGTATTGTTAGTACAGATGGGGTTTTGCCAGGTTGGCCACGCTGGTCTCGAACTCAGGTGTCTCAGCCTTTCAAAGTGCTGGGCTTACAAAGTGTGAACCCCCACTCCTGGCCATAAAAACATTTTTTACCCACATGCTTATATACAAAAGTTGACGTCAGTAAACTTTTCCATCCAAAATTTTGAGGGTGATGCTCCATTGTCTTCTAGCTCCCAGAGCTGCTACACAGAAAGAAGCTCAGTATCATTCTAGGTCCCAATGTTTTGGATGTGACCTGTGTCTTTTCTAGAAACATTTAGGGCCTTATTTGCATAGTGGTAAGAAAGAAAAAAACAAAAACAAAAACAAAAACAAAAGGCTTTTAGGATCTTCCATTTATTCTTAGTATTTTTTTTTTTTTAAGACAGAGTCTTGCCTTGTTGTGCTCAGACTGGAGTACAGTGGTGTGATCTGGGCTCACTGCAACCTCCTCCTCCCAGGCTCAAGTGATTCTCCTGCCTCAGCCTCCAGAGTAGCTGGGATTACAGGCATCCATCACTATTCCTGGCTGATTTTTGTATTTTTAGTAGAGATGGGGTTTCATCATGTTGGCCAGGCTGGTCTCAAATTCCTGCCTTAGGTGATCCAAGGTACTGGGATTACAGGCATGAGCCAACACACCCAGCTTTTTTTTTTTTTTTTTTTTTTTTTGAGATGGAGTTTCACTCTTGTTGCCCAGGCTGGAATGCAATGGCACAATCTCGGCTCACCACAACCTCTACCTCTTGGGTTCAAACAATTCTCCTGCCTCAGCCTCCCGAGTAGCTGGGATTACAGGTGCCTGCCACCATTTCTGGCTAATTTTTTGTATTTTTAGTAGAGAGCGGGTTTCACTGTGTTAGCCAGGATGATCTTAATCTCCTGACCTCAGGTCATCTGTCCGTCTTGGCCTCCCAAAGTGCTGGGATTACATGCATGAACCATCGTTCCTGGTGTATCCTTCATTTTTAGAAATGCAAACTACTAAGCATGGTTCTTTTTTTATTTATTGAACTAGTGCTAGGTAAGTACTTTCAATCTAGAAACTGTTTTTCAGGTTTGGGACATTTTCTCTATTTATTTATTTGAGAATTTCCTCCTCTCCAACTTCTGTTCTCTCCTTCTGAAATTCCTGTTATTCAGTATTGAATCTCTGAGATTAATAAATTTTCTTCTTTCTCCATTTTTATATTTTTGATTTTTTATTTTAATTTCTGGGAGGTTCTCTCAACTTTATTTTCTAAAACTTCTAATGTATGTACAATTTCTGCTATTTTAATTGCATTATTATTATTTTTTTTTTTGAGACAGAGTTTTGCTCTTGTTGCCCAGGCTGGAGTGCAATGGCGTGAGCTCGGCTCACTGTTACCTCCACCTACGGGGTTCAAGCAATTTCTCCTGCTTCTGCCCCGAGTAGCTGGGATTACAGGCACCCACCACCACGCCCAGCTAACTTTTTTGTATTTTTAGCAGAGACGGGGTTTCATCATGTTGGCCAGGCTGGTATCAAATTCCTGACCTCAGGTGATACAACAGCCTAGGCCTCCCAAAGTGCTGAGATTACAAGTGTGAGCCACCAAGCCGGCCCTTAATTGGGTTTTTAAGAGCTCTTCCTCATTCTTTGAATACTCCTTTTTCCAGTCTCCTGTTATTGTTCCATTATAATATTTTCTCTCATCCCTGAGGGTATTCTGGAGTATTTTTCTTTCTTTTTTTTTTTTTTTTGAGATGGAGTCTCACTCTGTTGCTCAGGGTGGAGTGATACATAGCTGTAGGCACGATCTCAGCTCACTGCAACCTCTGCCTCCAGGGTTCAAGCAATTCTCCTGCTTCACCCTCTCGAGTAGCTAGGATTTTTAGTAGAGATGGGGTTTCACCACGTTGGCCAGGCTGGTCTTGAACCCCTGACCTCAAGGGATCTGCCTGCCTTGGCCTTCCAAAGTGCTGGGATTACAGGTGTGAGCCACCACACCTGGCTTATTTTAGTTTTCTTCTGCTCCCTGCATTGTCCATTTCCTCCAAGTTCCTCTTTTGTCTTTGGTCACCACCTTTCATTCACAGATTTTTATCAAATGACTGATCATCCTTGTCTATCCACTGATATTTAAGAGCAAGACCCTAAAGAGCTTGATGTGTGTGTGTGTGTGTGTGTGTGTGTGTGTGTGTGTGTGAAGACAGAGGTTCCTTACACAGGGGTTAGCTTTCTGCAGGGTGATCAGGAAGGGACCGGCCCATTTGACTGGGACTTCAGATGCCTACAGCTATGTATCCTCATCTATTTCCCCCTCCTTGGGCTATTTAATTACCCCAGAAAGATACCCTTCAATCCTCAGCCTGACAGATATAAGCCAGGGTTTTGGTGTTCTGGGA